TCTAACCCTTACAGTGGGCAGCTGTGGCAAAAGAAACCAAACCAAACAAAAAAACCCCAAAAAATAAAACCCAGCAAGAAAGACTGGAAGCTTATCATATCATTCTGGAAAGCCTTTTGTCCAGGCTGTGGCTGGTTTTGCTCCTTTCCCAGTACTGACAGTTAGGTGATGATCACTGAAAATTTCAGCACTCTCATACATGAGGTCTGGGACTTCATCAGGAGATGATCATCCATAAGCCAGGTGCTGAAGCAGTGTGCTGAGTGTTTGTGTATGTCACTTTCCATTTGGTGGGAAATGGGAATATTGGAAGGGTGGCACAGAAACTAAAGTTTGGTATTTGCAACTTGCACAGGAATTGCTAGCATGATGTGTACTGGTTTTGGCTGAGATAGTTAAATTTCATCGTAGTAACTTGTATGGGGCTATGTTTTGGGTTTATGAGATCTGTACTGATAACAGAGAAATGTTTTATCTATTGCTAAGCAGTGCTTACAGAGTGTCAAGACCTTTTCTGTTTCTCACATCATCCCATCGGTGAATGGGCTGGGGCTGTGCAAGGGGTTGGGAGGGGAAGAAGTTGGGACAGCTGACCTGAATTGACCAAAGGGTCAATTCCATTACATATGATATCATGTACAGCAATAAAACTGAGTGTGAAGGATGTGGGTGAAAGTTGCTTAGGGACTAGCTGGACATCAGAGTCAGTTGTTGGTGACTGATTTTATTCTTTTGCATCACTTTTTGCCTGTGGTTTCTCCCTACCACCCCTCCTTTTTTACCCCCATCTTGAAAACAATAAATTCTGACAGACCAGGAAGCAAGCCATATCCTGGGCTGCATCAAAAGCAGTGTGGCCAGCAGGTTGATGCAGATGATTCTGCCCCTCTATTCCATTCTCATGACACTCCACCCTGAGTATTCCATCCAGCTCTGGAGTCCGCAGCACAGGAAGGACATCAGCCTGTTGGAGTGAGTCCAGAGGAGGACCATCAAGATGATTAAGAGGGATGAAGCACCTCTCCTATGAGGAAAGACTAAGAGAATTGGGATTTTTCAGCCTGGAGAACCTAGGAGGGAACCTACAAGAAAGATAGAGGGAGATTATTTAGAAGAGCATGTAGACACAGGACAAGAGGGAATGGCTTGAAACTGAAAGAGAGTAGGTTTAGATAAATATTAGAAATTCATTACTGTGAGGCTGGTAAGGTAGTGAAACAGGTTGCCCAGAGAAGGTGTGGATGCCCAACCCCTGGAAGTGTTCAAGGCCAGATTGGATGGGACTTTGAGCAACCTGGTCTAGTAGAAGATGTCCCTGCCCGTAGCAGGGGGATTGGAACGAGATGACCTTTAAAGACCCTTCCAATCCAAGCCATTCTGTGATTCAAAATTGTCTGTATCTGAACCCATGAATTTTTGCACTTTTACCCTTCTGATTCTCTCCCTTATTCCACTGGAAGGGAGGGTGAGTGAGCAGTTGAATGATGCTTAGCTGCCTACTGAGGCTTGCCAATAGAAAAATCATGTAGCTAGCTATTTTTTCTCAGGTACACAGAAAAAGACCAGGAACATTGTGACTTATCAAGCAAAGTATTTGAATGCAAGCTTAATTTTGAGTGTGTTATGTTCTTTATAAAAAGATATTTGCAGTAAGCTCCTTAGTTTTTATAAGTAAAAAAAATAAAAGAGAAAGTGTAGAAAGGATCTGAGATTACTTTGAAGGACCTGCTCCCAGAATTGATGATTAAAGAAGGATAAGCACAGTGCTTGTGGCTTTTAAGG